TCTTTCTATTTGGTTTATTTCTTTTTATATATAGTGTATTCCATCACCCACCTTTCATCAAGGGATTCTTGGATCAATTTGAAGTAGTTCTTCCTCAACAGAGATATTGAGTCATGAACTTGTGTATTAAAAAAATATTCGCGTAAATTTTAAAGGATGTTGATAAATATAAAATAAAAATTTATACAATTTTAAACAGATTCTCTCACCGATATTAATTATAAATCGCTTTTCGCACGTCTTTCTTTAGCAGTTTCAAATAATTTGCAAAATATATTATTTTTTATTGTTTTCTATAATGACGTGTTCAAATGATAAATCCAAATCTGAAGAAATTTTCAGGATATGCATTAAATACACGAATACATCTGTGTACGCTGCTTTATGTCCTAGCGCAACAAATCCTGAATCTCGCACGTCCACGAGAAAACTCGAAAGAAACTAACCCGGGATAGTATTGCACCGATTTACATTTATTCATGACTTCAGTGCGATAATCTGATCTCTCTCTCGGGTCCGCGAGATGCGAGACTCCTTCGTCCGGCCACGCGCACTTTAGTAGCAAGGATGTCTAATTCGATCATCCGTTCGATCCTTGGTTCTTTCACGCGAGGCGCGACGCGCGGGGTATCGTGAAATTTATCGAAGTAGTTAAGCGTGGAGTGGACTTTTTACTAGTCTCGAGGACTAAGCACGCAAATATCGCCCGCTTCAAGGCGACCACTTATCGTGACAATTTCTCTCTTTTTATTGAGCGTAAATATAATTGTTCGCGCACACGGTTACACAATGCGCGGTCAGGTCGAGCGAAACGCAATTCGACGAGGACGCGAAGGCTTCGGCGTCGCTTCGCTTCACCGACGAATGTTCACTTAGAATTTTTCCCGGAGAATTTTGTGAACAAGCTTCATAGCTCCACGATGATATCTGATTACCAAATAAAGCGTCTTGTGTAAAAATCGATGAAATATTTTCATTCGTTAAAAATTGACAGTTTAAAATGATTTCGACTTACAAAATCATGAATATTTATGCGAATTTAGTCAAGTTATGTACGATGACAATCTTAATCGATCACGTTGACAATTAACAAGATCTTCGTGTATTCAATCTATTGTAAGTATTCATATTGTACTCCTCTATTCATCTTTTCATCGTAATCTACGTAAATGCTACGGAAGGAGGAATTTATCAAAGTTCGTCGATTTAATTTTCATGAGTGTTCTCGAATTCTATTGTTTTTGGATGATATTCTACTTGAAAATCCTTGATTCATATAATAATCTCAAAAGATATTCATTAGATTCCCGTTTAATATTTCTACTATAATTTATTCTTTAGAAGAAAAATGAGAGAGAGATAATCGCGTTAAAAAAATTGAACTTTTTAAAATCAAATATTTGAATTGTGTGTGTGTGATTTTTTTTATGATGCCACTTTATCTACCATGATAGTACAATCAGAGAGAAGAAGCTATTAGTTTTGAAATCTGAGTATAATTATTTACATCATTTTGAATATCATTAACTCTTATTCGTTTTTATATATATATTGAACGGAAAATTAATAGATGCATTATATAATTAATGTCCTCTGCATTTTAACACAATTATTCGTCAATAAAATCAACGCAATGTAAAATTTTGTTGATTTTATTTAAAGTGTATTTTTGTATATAACACACGGGCGATTTCATCTAATTCACTCTCTCAATCAAACACATCGTTCTTTTTAGTTTGTGTAGTTGCTCGTCCTCGACCTCGCCGGGAGTATCACGGAGTCCGATAAAATTTCGTGAGTTTCCATACACGTGATCGAATAATGAACATCACGTTGAAAATTTGCGGTTGACGCTGATTTTATTGCCGTACGTTACGTGCCTGTTTTGTGTTTATTGTCGCGATGAATTGACTAACTGTCGTTTTATTTTTCATATAGTCATTAGAGCGTATAAATAAAAACAATTAACAAATAAATGAGATAAAACGAATAAATAGTTAACGAAAAAAACGATTAAAAAATGTCATCGCTTGTTATTCCTACATTTACATTCTTAATTTTGCACGTAACTTGGTAACTTTTACACCCTATATAATTTAATTCTTTCGACAAATTTGAATCGTTCCCTTCTCAAATTGCAACAACTTGTCGAAGTGTTTCTGAAAGTTGCGCGCCTTAGCATTCTTAGCAGTTTTAAATATTTTAATGTAAATTTATTATTAAAAGATCGAAAGTAATATAATACAAATTATATTATTTATAAAATTTCAAGGGATTAAAACGCCATAATTTTTATAATATTATTTTGTATTAGAAAGTGTTACGTAAATTATGAGTTTTTCGCCGAGATTTAGAGTCAATATATTAGTATTATTAATGTGTATACTTTATACAAGACTAAGATTATTTTGCGATATTTTAATGAGATTACAAGAATGATAATTAAATAAATAAAGTTAATAAAATAATGGCAAAAATAAAACTTAAAAATAAAAATGAAATTTTCATATTTTACGAGCCTACGAAACTTTTGTATCGTAATATTTATTTTGTTTAGGTTTTAATATCGCACTGTGCTGAGACGATAGCTACTTTCATACGCGATTTCCAATATAGCCTAATATATAACCAAGTAAAGAGAAAAACAGCCCGAATATGAATAAACAAATTTACTTATTTCCACCCCGATGATACTTCCTCTCGTTTTATCTTCGTTATTTCGGACAATTTTAATCATTAGCGAGTGCTCGTTAACAATAAAGTAACAACAATTGTATCATAACGACAGAAATTGATCGGTCATTTATCGCGCTCGCAAAGTTTCAGTTTTCAATGCTAAATAAAGGGACAAGTGGTGTAAACAAATTGAAGGCCTCGAAGGCAAACGACTTTTAAGGGAACGCGAGGGAATTTAGATCTTAATTGCATCAATCTTTCCGAGTTTAAAACTTCTTTCAAAGTTTAAAAAAAAAAAAAAAAAAAAAATTTGAGCGGCACCATTATATCTCATCGAGTCCTTCACGTTCTAGTCAAAGAAGAGAAAGATCACTCTTCCCGAACATGAGAGAACCTCTATCAAACTTATATCACTTGAGATGCTTTCAGCAATCTACTTGAGCAATCGCAAATTGAGTCGTAACATCGAGAGGAAGGGGAGGCAGAAGGGGGTGGTCTTATCGACGCTCGTAGATACGAAAATTGGCGAAATGGGGGGGGGGGGGGGGGGGATATATACCGGGTCCGATATACCCGCGCCCTTTACCTTCTCGTCCTCGTGCGGCGTAGGCGGCGTGGGCGGCGTGTACATTCGCGGCGCATAGTCGCCGAGCGAAGATGCGCCGCCGGTGGAGGAGCCCTGGCTCCTCGGCGGGCTGAGGTCCGGGATTGCGGCGTGATAGTCCTGGTGGAGTCCTGTTGGCATCACCCCCGCGGGCAACACGGGACGGTACTCCATCGCGCGCACCTCCATGCCGATCGCGCGGCACCACTATTACGGCTCTCCACTCCCGCGTCTTCGGCCTCTTCGTCGTGATCCTCCACCTCGACCACCTCCTCGTCGTCGTCGTCGTCGTCGTGATCGTCCGGCGGCGCAGGACACGCGCGGAGGAACGCGCGGGGCTGACCTTGACGTGTCCCGCACTTTGAAAGTCTCAGCTGCTGCGGCGACCTTGCACCAAGTCGCGCCACGGCGCGAGGATCGCGGCAGTCGCGCGGCTCATGATGCCGAAAAACTTTCGGAACGAGGCGCGCGATTATCGTGCCGCGATGATATTATTAAAGTTAGGGCCCCGGTGACAACCGCGGCCAACTCATCGGTTTCTTGTCCGTGCCGCGACGACGATGGTCCCGTCGTTCATCTCCGTCGTTGGCGCAACAACTGTGGCGAACGGTGAACGCGGCCCGTTGAGGTGGAAGGTGAGAAAACGAGGGAGAGAGGGTTGATGCGTAGAGTGACTCGGGGTGAAAGAAACGCACACTCGCGAACGATCTTCACTATACTTATATCTCGTATATTTACGCGATGTCTCGCGTCTTGCGACGGCGATTTCCTCGCACAAGAAACTGGCGAACGACAAGATATATATATGTTTGTTATCCTCCGGATAATTGCCGGATAAACGGGAGCGCCGACGGAGGCGATCCGCGACGTGCGGACGCGACGACGGCGGCTTTAACAGCTACGGCGATACTAGGGATTTCCTCTCTCGTTGGTCGCTGTGCGTACGCTCCCGTTGGCCTCACCTTCAGGGTGATGCTCACCCCTTGACTACTTTTTGCCGACTGAATGTTTTGCGCCGCCGTGGCGGCCCTCGGAACGGCGACCGGAGCGTGCACTACCCCCACCAGGGGCTCTTCTCTCTCACCAAGCCGCCAGCTAAGCCGAGCGCGCTACGACGGCGCGCCGTCTCGCTCGCTCCCTAGTCGAGCGTACGGCCGATCCCCCACCATCATCATTCGCCGTCGCTTCTCTCCCTACGACAACGACGACGACGACGAGGATGATGAGGATAGTGGAGCGACTGAGAGGTGAGCGTAAAAGCTAGGCGCATACATGAGAGAGGGATAATTAAGCGGGTACATCGCGTCCTCTGTACCACCGTCTCTGGTTCACGCTCTCTCTCTCTCTCTCTCTCTCTCTCTCTCTCTCTCTCTGTCTCTTTTCATCTCTCTATCTCCGTTGCTATCTTTCGGACTACGAGATCACTCCATCCTCGTTGTTCGCTCGGATCTCCTTCCTCTCTTTGCCCCCCTTAACCCCTTCTCATTTTTTCTCGCTAACTCTCACTCTTCGCGAGATCCGACGTTCCGCGTCTCTGGACCGAGAGTCTGTTTTACGGATGCAGGGTTGCTCTCCGTTACCACCCTGGATAGAGCCTTAGATAAAGATTGTCACGGTGTTGTTGTAATGTTTTTTTCCATCTCTTTTTTTTTTTTTTTTTTTTTTTTTCCCCTCGCGACTCGATCGAAAAAACGCGAGTCATCGCGCATCGGTAATATCTAGGTGTTAAACGTTTCTAGAACGTCTCTCGTCGGTTTGATCTGTCGGCTAATCGCTCGGACCGATCGAGATCGTGGAATGTCGGAGAACGCGCGTGTAATTATCGTGCAATCGGTAGCGAGTTTGCGAACCGTCCGCGAGTATCCATAAATCAGAATAATAGTACGTACGATCGTTCGATACTGCCGTCATTATCCGTTGTTTATCGGCGACGTTTAGGTATATTACTTCCTTTCCTCGATAAGAGAAAAACATGATCGTTTTCTTTTTAAGAAATTCGTCTAATATTAATACAACCATCATTTTTTATATTATATATATATATGTGTTTTTCTTTAAATCAATGTTTTTTAATTGATTTAAAGCACGAGGAAAAAAAAACAAACCAGTATGACTGGACCAGTATGACTGCACCTATACAAGAGTAAAAAATTGCAACACGCCGTCTAAATAATCGAGTAACAAAGAACAACACAAACAAGTAAGTTCAAAATTGCTGTGTTTTCCTTAAATCAGGATACATACTCCCTGATTAAGAATAACGATAATTAAGTAATAATATTTGCATCCCCCCACCTTATTTCACAAAACACCCTCCCCTGTTATCCTTTCCACCCTGCTTGATCCACGATATTCCCTCAAACGGACAATTCGTGCATTTCGATGAGGATTTCGACAAGACGTCGCCGTCAAAGACACAGATTCGATAAAGGCTTCACCGTCGCTCAAAACGCGACAAACGGACAATAATATAATCACTCGTTTTTGCGTTTGTGTTTGCAAGTAGCGGCGCATAAATTTCGCGAGGATGGAGAAAAAAGGATGGTCGTCGTGACGCGATCCGTCTGGAGAATAGAATTACACTTTTTTTTTTTTTTTTTTTTTTTTCCGTCGAGTTTCGGCCCCGAGCTAAACTTGAGGTGAAAACCTGTTCCCGTGATCGATCGCTTATGGAATGTGAACTTTAGCTCGTCTAGCCAAACTCCCGTGCACACACGCGCGCGTACACCTATATCCACATAATGGATGCGCGTCCGCGTTGACGTTGGCAATAATTATAGCGATAATTAATCGCGAGTCTACACACGTGCCGTTGTGCGTGCGCACGCGTGCGTCTAACACGATTTTATCTCACCTTTCCCATCCGTCCGTAAACTTCCCGCGATACTCTTTCTCTTTTTTCTTTTTTTTTTTCGGTCATCTCGGATTCACGTCAGAGAGTTATAACGTTATCTCCCTATTGTAAGTCAGATATATTTAATAATAATATTATTATGTTTAATTAACGATTGATATGGAGATTAATATTTTGCCTAATAATTCTCACCATCTCGATAAGGAGGATAAAATCTTTATAAAATTTTCGAAAACAGCTAGAAATTGATTTTCAAACTCTTTTCTATTCGATTCTTTTTCCAGTTTCTTGCTCATCACATATTCAAAAAACGGCGCGTCCTTGGATCGGCTTTCACCGGTGACTGCATCTTTCAGTGTGGCTGTCTGCAATCAGTCGAATTTTCTCACTCGATTTAAACAGTCGGTTCTCGTTCGCTCCCATCGGGAAAATTGTTCACGCCGAGGAAAACGCATCGTCATATGTGGTTGCCTTCTGTTGCTCCTCACCCTCGGCACGACGCCGAAAAAATCCGCCCGGGTGCAAGGTGACGCATCGTTTTCCTTACAGACTCCCGGCGTTTCCTCGACGCGCCGGATCCACGTTCGTTCTGTAAACTCGACGGGGATAATCTTTTCGCGTTGTAATGGAACACGTGGAACGCCTCTGTTCGCGCTAGTCGAGAGTCGAAATTTGTCAAACGTGCCGTATTACGTCTCCATAAACGCGGCTCAGATTTTCACCTTCCCTCTTTCACTCTATCTATCTCTCTCTCTCTCTCTCTCTCTCTCTCTCTTGACAACGAAGACATCATATTTCATATCGCGAATCGACCGACTTTAACCAGAAGTAGCAAAATACCGCCTCTACGCTTTTCACGAGGGGCGAATGGGATCGAATCAGATTAAAGTTGAAGATTTGCGGTTGCTTGCGAAATAATGGTGATTTGGCGTATTATAAGGCAAACTACTTTCCGATGAACAAGGGAGTATAACAGGAGAGAGCGAACAAGTTGAAATTAGCGCGAATGTGCCGGAGAACTTTTGAATTTAAAATCCGATTTACCCTCTCAGACTATTAATCCGTCCTTAGTACAAGTTCTCGACCTTGTGGCTATATTTTACAGGCTGTAAAGACTAAAAAAAGTCTCGTTTTTTAAGCGCCATTGAGAAAAAAAGAAGCGTGCCGCGATCGTTTTTGCTTTCTAAGGCATCGCAACGACTCAATTAGTTTTCCTCTTCATCCTAAATTCTCATTTTTTTTTTCACCGCCTCTTTTCCGCCACCCTTTGTCTATATTTATTGATGCCCCACCGATCTGTCTACGGTTGACCGAACTTTTTTGCGACACATTCTGGCCACCCGTTGTTGATGTCACCTGCTCTTTTTTTCGAAACCAAACTCTACTTCTCAAGCCTCTTTTTCCACCCTCTGTTGCGCTAACTTTTACTTTTTTTTTTTCCCGCGTGCCGACACTTATGAACAGTCGGATGTATTGACACGAATGGTTCCAAAAAAAGAACGACGAGAACAGCGACGGATTCTAATAAGGGGAGACGGAAATGGAAATACATATGTCGGAAGCGGAGGGCGCGGAAATGTATAAGCCACCTTGTTTGTCGATAGATATTTAGCATCAATCACAATTAATTTTTATTAATTTTTTTTTTAAATTTAAAAGGCTCCTTTTTTAACAACAAATTTTGTGTATTTTTCATAAGCATTTCTTTGTATTGCTCTTATCTCTCTTTTCAAGAAGTAATTTTCTTTTTAAAAATATGTATATAAACCAATTATTTTTCCTCCAAAAAAGCCCAATCTTTCCTATAAAGAAAAAACGCGTTTCTCTTTCGCGAGGTTGTTGCTATGCTAAATATAATCGCCACACGTTTCTCGATTGATAAATAATTACTTAAGAGACCATTATAAAAAGAGAAATATATTTCAGCACAAGAACTACGCAAACCGACGGATTTTCCCCAATCCATGATAATTATCTGGTTATTCACGCGAATGGGCGATGTATCACGAATCACATAGGAGGGACACCCCTAAAGAGCAGAGAGAGAGAGAGAGAGAAAAGGTAAAAAAAGGTAATTTTTCGGGAGCCGAGTCCCTCTGTGCGAGTCGAGCGGAAAGGAAGCCTCACGGCTGCCATATGTCCGCGTTTCTAAAACATTTTCGCGCTAGGACACCTTTCGCTCTTTCGAAGAAGGCCATGCGTCCTTCGTTCAGAAAGCGCGGCGTGCGAAAAGACTCATTATTCAGACTTATCGTCGCGTGATATCTTTGATTTTTCCGGTAGATACGTATGTATGTAAGCAAACATCAGGTTATTGTGTTTAGAGTCCATTTCCGCGCAAACGAATTTTCTACGTACAATTTCTGCTAAATCTGCAGCTCCTTTTATGTGACTCTTGACACACATCCATATATTTATATGATTTCCTTTGTAAAAAAATTATTCATTAGCTTATTAAATATCTCACATACTTTAAATCTCACTATCTCTGTTGAAGTAATTGGAGGAATTTGAATAATCAAAATATTGTAGGATATAAGTTAAACATTTGTCTCGAGATAATTTCTCACAAAATTGTTCTTAGAAAAAAAATATTACATAATCTTATAAAAGAGATTTTTAGATAAAGATTATTAGATAATCTCTTTATATTTTATTAAATATGAATGACAATATAATTTCATTAAATATGTATAATAATGTAATTTTTACCATAATTTTTATTATTTAATTGTCAATAATACCGAGATAGTTACAAAAAACTTTTCACCGTACGAAAAAAAAAAAATAAAAAAATACACTACATATATAGAAAAGCGAGCAGAAAGTATCTCGAGGTTGCGATAATCGATGATGGAAATAGAAGGCCATCATTTCTGACCATCGTTTCGTCACTTTGAGCGACTTAAACTTCCAAAATCACTTGTACCGAAGTATCACGGTGTGATATCTTGTCGCGGATGCACCGTACGGTGAGAAAGGCGCGAGCGGGACCCGAAAAAAAAAAAAGAAAGAAAAAAAAGAAAAGAGAGGGACAGGCGATGCCGACAGGCGAGCAGATAGAAATCGCTTTTAAGGTGTTCGCGTAAGTAGGCGCCTTGGCACGTTTCATTATGATTAGGAGCGACCAAGCGTGGCGCGAAACGGCGCGGCGCGACGGAGACCATTCCGTCGCCTAGACTCACTTCCAATATACGCCGAAAAGCAACGAAGCGTGGATCGCGGTCGTTTTGCGTCTTTCTCTCTCTCTTCGAGAGAACCGTAACCGATCGGATCTACGCGCGGATTGTCTCCGATTCCGCCGATTCCGAACGTGTCGCGGATCATGCAATCTCGTCACGAGTACCGCGCGATCGCCAATGGTAATAATAATAATAATAATAATAGTAATAATGAAGGAATAAACGAGAAGGAGAAGGAGAGAGAGAGAGAGAGAGATAGACATCGTCGAGGCGTCTAGCTCTGCGGTATTGTAGTTGTTTCTTTTTTTGTTCTACCGCTTATTTTTTTGCTTCTCCGTCAAGTGCAGCGCTCGTGCGTGAGAAATTGCCAATACGATCGGACGTGATGTATCGATGTAACGTTTAACGATAGAGAGAGATCGACGATTTCTTTCTCTCTCTCTCTCTCTCTCTCTCTCTCTCTCTCTTTCTTCCTTTCTCGTTACGACATATGCCGCGATGAAATCACCGTCCGCAGATCAATTCCTGGATACGCTCGAAATTGCGCGCCAAAAAGACCCGGGACGAAATAATAAACGAAATGTCGCAATATACCGCGGGATATCGATACGAGATTATACCGGGAGCCACCGCGGTCGATCAACCGACGACTTTAATGATAGCGATCGGTCATTGCGTCACCCCCTTATTAAGGGGGACAGTCAACGGCGCGGCGTGGCGCGAACCCCGCTTTTTTCCTTCTGTTTCGGACGCTCGTCGCATAGGGGTCGGTCAGCCGCGATCACGGTCCGGCAAAAAAACCGGTCGGAATGATTCCCGGGCGCACGTTACACGTCGCATCTGTGCTTCGGATCTGCATATGGTCCGGGGACTCTTACCGGCGCGACATTCATTCTTCCTCCCCGCGCGTGAACTGTTTTTTTTTCCCCTTCCTTTTTCTCTCGTATCGATGCCTCTCCGTCTTGTTTAAGTACGTGGACACACCGATGGCTGCGTGCCCGCTCGCCTCGTTCCGGGGGTTGCGAGAGGAAGGGTAGGGGGAGACCGAATTTCTCCCTCCGAATACGACGAACGAGGAGGGGGCCTCACCAAAGGCCGCCCTAATTTTAACCGTGCGTACGAATCGTTTGAATGACAATTGATCGCTGTAAACCTTCGCGTAGACTGCTTCAAGACGATTTTCCACTCCTCGCATCGTCTCTTTCATCCTTTCGCCGATTTTCAATCCCGTTCTATCTTCTAATAGCTCGTTCAAACCGGCCCGGCGTAACCCGATATGCAAATATTTTTCCCACTTAAACGCGGAGATTAATGATGGTCGCGGAAAATTGGTGGCTTCCTTATATCGGATTCATCGTCACACTGTATCCAGGGGACTTAATTTTCGATTTTTCTAACCGGATACCGCGGAGACGATTCCGTGGGATCCCGACGGCGTGTACGTTGAAGCGATTTTTCAGACGCGAGACATATGTCACGTAAAGTATTTCTATTTGTGTAAGTGTAAGCAAACTACAACAAATAATATATATA